GTTCTGTGATTCTGTTCTGTGATTCTGTGATGATGAAGTCATCGGTGTTCATCTGTCTGTGTAAACATTAAGGAGATTAAAATAACTGGATTTAAAGTAGGTGCTTTACTCCGACCCAATACATTCTATTATTCTATACATCCCCTAGAAGATGACTTTGTCTACTTGTATGCATTGCTAGGGATTTTGGTTTGATCACAGAGGTTGTAGTTGCCCGTGGTTCTGGGAGGCATACAGTTGAGCAGTTTGAGTATGATTTCACTTGGTGTGGAGCCTGCTGGCTGTTAGACACTTGCAGCTCCAAATGCAGGTGGTACTATGAATACACTTGCTATCACACCTCAGGCTTCTTTCTGAACCCCTCTATTTCTCAGTTCACCAGCCTAAGTTACAACTAGTCTGTGCCTTTTGTTTTTGAAGATTTTAATGTGCGTTATATATGGAGGGTTTTAGCAGCCTCCAGGGACTAGGGATGCTTGGAAATATTTGAAAGAACAACAGTGGGAACAGATAGCTTCTGTTTCTCTGAGTGGCCCAGTGGAAAGTTTACTCCTCTAGACTGATTACCCAGTCTTTTGATTATCTGTGTAATTTTTTTATTGAGCATCAACCAGTGAAAGGGGATGTATTGATGATAGATCCTTGGTGAGGGATGCAACTGTTACTGTTCATTTTGCGGTCTTTTAAAGTCACATCGCCTGCTTTGGTGCCATTCACAGTGTGCTTGGGATTTCTGTCCCAGTGGTGAAGGCCAAGTGTGAGTTCCCCTTTCTGCTCCCCTCACCTACCATTTTATTCTTTCTTCCTATTTTCATTAGAGCTCTGAAAATGTATAGCATAGGTGGGTTATGGAGATGTAAAATAGGTATCTGCTGCTGTCTAAAGTCATTAAGGAGCAGCAAAACCTTATTAGAGCCAGCGATGTCAACTCTTTTTACACCTTCAGCTTTTGAAATTATAAAATTCTTAAGAATTATAGCTTTCATTTTAAAAAAATATAGTCATTATTGTCTTGGAGAAGATTTATTAAACATGAAATCCAAAGAGGTGAGAAACCAAAGAGAGACTTAAAGAGGAGTTTACGATGTAATGTTTTTTTTAAGTTGATGTCAGAAAAGTTTCTGGAGCCATGAGACCTGAATTTTTGAACCTCTGAAGTTGAATGAATGGACCTGCTTTACCTTTTTACCAACTAGGGCATGGCATAACTGCAGAAATTTTGTTCTGGCTAGTTTTTGACGTAGACCATGCCCAAATTTCTCCTTTGTTCCTTCTTTACATTATCATTGTGATATTTCTAAGCTAGTCTGACTTGGCATGTCAGAGCTCTCTCCTTACTCTCTTGTTCAGTACGAGTTTGTACTGAATTGATTCTGTTGCTCTTGTAAAAAAATCCTTATTCTGATTTTCTTGCTACCCAGCTCAATGCGGTGATACACAGGGAAGTTTTGAACTTTTTCATTTAACTGGATTCTAAAACGGTGGCTTGTGAACATTCTTTGTAGCTCAGATAACAGAACTATTAAAAAGGTAAAAGGCTTTGAGATTAAGGCAGGGGAGTGATCTGTTTCTTTAGAAGTAATTTGTTTTCTGTATGGATGACTGGAAGTGTCTGTATTGTCTGAAGTTGCTTTCTGAAGGAATGTTTTAGCAGCTCCATTCAGTGACTTCAGCCTTTACTGTAGGTGTTTAGAAGTAGACTATAATTGTAATTTTCAAGAGCTAGCAGCAGTCTGCTTGGGTTCAATGAGAACCCAGTTTCTGCTCCTTCCCAGTGGCAAATCTTAACAGCCTGAGACTGGTAAAGGATGAGGGGGCAGAGGGGCACAGAGGACTGAAGGAATTTGCCCAAGGTCATTCAGAAGATGAGCAGTAGAAACAGGCGAAGTGCCTGGGATTCTTGACCTGCAACCCAGCGCCTTTATCCTTTTAGTCATCATGCCTTCTGCCCCTGCCAGGATATAGTGCCGAGATTTGGGAGACGTTGCATTAAACTGTCTGGCTCCAGGAACTGCTTTTTAGAAGTGCAGCTGATCCTTGAGAAGAAGAAATGTCAGTGTTAAAAATGACACCGACTACTAACTCTGATCCAGTGAAACAGTATCTAAGAAAATTTCAAACCCCGTGCTCAGTGATGACTAGATAATTCATCACTGCTTTATTTTATATGGTCTTTAACACGGAGTGAATCCCTCCCTGTATGTGTACTTCAGAAAGTTAAATAACAGATACACAGATAATGACAGTAGAGGAAGAAAGAAATTGGGAGACAAAGATACAGGCAAGAAGATACAGTGTCTAAGGAGAATTGGGAAGTTAGAGTTAATCAACCAAAGAGATATGGAAGCTGGCTGTTTTAGCCGAAGGATTTGTAGAAAAGGTTTTCATCTTGACACTAATAGAAATCAAGCATGTGGCTGAGTTACCATTTAAGGTAAACTTGAAGTAATAACCCTCCTCACTGGGATTTTTTTAACTTTATCTTTTGTCTCTTTATCCTGATTTTCCTGGAGAGGAGAATTTCTTACTGACGGATCAGATGTGTTTGTCATCACAGGTTCCGAGTCTGCTTCTCCGTGTGGCACCTTGGAGTTTCTAGCTGGCACCATTACCTCCAACGAGTGGAGTTCTCCCACCTCCCCTGAGGGGAGCAACGACTCGGGGGGCAGTGAGGCCTTGGACAAACCCATTGACAATGACGCTGAGGGTGTATGGAGTCCGGACATTGAGCAGAGCTTCCAGGAAGCGCTAGCCATCTACCCACCATGTGGACGGCGGAAGATTATCTTGTCAGACGAAGGCAAGATGTATGGTAAGGAGAAAGAAAGGGCACATCGCGATGCTCCAGGCTGCCCACTCTGTGCAGGCCACTTGCCTCCTACCGAATGATGAATGAACTCTTTTCTCTTAGGCGATCCCATGTTGATACAGTTGGTAACTTCAAGTTGTATTTACAAAAATCAGAGAAGATTTTAACATTCACAGATCAGAAAGAATTCTAGATGTCTCTTTCAGGGCAGTATCAATAAGGTAGATCTCAGAGTTGGGCATGCTACTCAAATAATCTTTGGATAGATATCATATAATGGCTTCATGGTGTGACTAAGTCTGTCTTTTATGGTATCTTTTGCTGCTCTTTCCAACATCTTGTTATCCTAACAGGTAAAGGTCTGTGTCTCTGATGCTAAAGAGCAGAAGTTCAGCACCCGAACTGCTGAATGGCTCTGCTAGTGGTGTGCAAACACGTACAGTTTGTTAACTAGCTGCACTTTTCAGATCTCAAGAAGGGTAGAAAACTGACTTCTCTGACTGCTCCTTTTTTGATAGTAGCTTGCCTTCTTATATCCCTGGCATTATGAATATCTTTCACCTGTGGGTTCTTCTCAGCTAGCTAGCTGGATACCCAGCCCTGAATGCAGAGAAGTGCTGGCTTGTGGCTGCAGTTGTAGTCAGCTTTTTAGGTGGTAGATGTGATTTTGAATTGTTTTTTTGACCTATTCCACAGTTACAATTTCGCTCTTGATTTTTTCCACAAAAAAGCTGGTCTGAGCCGAATTCTCTAGCTCAGTGTTGGAAGAAGCCACCTGTTACTTCTGTGTCTAAAAAGAAAAGGAAAGACTGAGAGTGCAGAGTATTTGGTTAAAAGTCCAGTGTTAAAACTGTTTTTCAAAGCACTAGCAAGGATCTTATGGAAGGCAACCCTCTTCTTACCCAGTCAGCGTTTGCTTTTTTTTACTTTACATTGGAATCTGTGTGCCTTTGCAGGCCCCATCATGGGAGCACCATGCCCTGAAGCATATGGAGCACTTCACGAGTCGTTCTGCAGGTTTCTGTCCACCCGTTGGGCCATTGTTCCCCGAGCTGGGGAATAGATGGCTCTCACTATGGGGGCATGGGTGGGGTCTTCTTTACACAGCCTTATCTACAATGGATGCTTTCACTGGGAACATGCATTATTGTAGCTGTACAGAGCAATATCTGTTGAGTGAGACTCATCACCCTGAGGCTCAGTAAGTGTCACTATTCTCATGTAGGCATCAATTCCTGCTCTGTGCTGGCACAAACGTTTTTGTGGTTGTGCTATGGAACTGACCTGGGAACTGATGCCGCTTAAAATTAACACAACCAGAAAGGAAGGAAAAAGGGAACTTTAATTTGGATATGCCCCCTGATTTGTTTCACTGCACAGCTGCTTGTGTTGGTACTTGGAGAAGAGATGATGAGAGTGGGAACGAGCAGCCATGATTGAGGGTAGTACTGCTTCCTTCAGAAGCAATGCTTGCATAAAATGTTATTCAAACGAAAATATTACTTAAAACTCCACCCTATGGTTATTAAGCATAGTTAGGGACATGATCCTTGCCTAGTTGTCATGACAGGTGACTTTTAAAATTACTGGTGGAAAGTTACAGTTGTGTTTTAAGACTGTCTTGATTTACTAATCATTGCCCATAGTCCCTGAAATACTTCAGCTTTGGAGTGAAGGCATCGGAGCAGAGTGTGAAATGGACAATAAAAGAAATAAGAGTGAGAGCAAAAGTAAGGAATGAAGTAAAATGGACTACGGAAAGCAATGAGACTTAGCTGGGGCCTGACCTAGCATGGACTGGTGTTTAGTGGAAAATCTCTGGTTAACTGCACTGGTGAGCTGCAGAAGGTAAATAACTCACTTGCAGGGTGAAAAGTTTAGGTGAAGCTATGGGAGAACAAATGAACAACTTTTCTGCAAGCCCTCCCCCACTACTCCAAATGGGACAGTGTCCCTGCTTGCCTTCAGTGCACCTGTTCCCAGCGTGGATGGTTGGCTCGATGAGCTCCTGACAGGACCCCAGGCACTGATTTATGCCCTCCTTTGCTTACTAGTCTCCAGGATCCATGCCAAGGAAGCGGGCCCAGCCGGGGATCTATAGAAAGATATGACCGGGCAGGGAGAATAAATATAGTCCCTGATTTCATCTTCATGGACATGAGCCAGCTTATGGAACAGGACAAGCTGTATGTGGAGCAGGCCTCGCCTCCAAGGGACGGTTGTTTAGCTGTCCCGTGACTGACTTGCACAGAGCTCACTAAACCAAGGAGCCAGGTGTTACAGAGAACTGTGTATGCCTCTTTTCCTTCACAGAAGAGGAACCATTGCACTGTTTTCCACTGTGGAGTGACTCATGTGGTACTACTCTTCTGGGCATTCTGTTCCAGGTCCCAGGATCTCTTCGATGTGCAGCTTATATACTTCTCCCCTGTTGTTAGGCAACTTGTTATCAGTATAAAGTTAGTAGCTTTTACCAGCAAACGTGTTGCACAAGCTGAAGTGCACCAAGCCTATTGGCTAGTGAAGAACTTGCACAGTTTTATTTGAATACACTTAAAATTGCACAGAAACATCTTTAACCCTGCACACAGGCCTCGTGCTAATGTTCCCTTGCCTCTACCAAGCCAGCGTGCTGCTTACAGCTCTTTAGATGACACTGCTGGTTGCTGAAGGGACATCATTATTCCTACTTCACATGGAAGTCAGCAAAGCTCTTCTCTGTATATTGACAGTCTGTGTGTTGATGCCATTGCTGTCTTCTTTTATTATCTTTTTCCCTCATAGACATGTTCCATTACTGGAGGCAGCATCTTGAAGGAGGAGTAAGCTCATACCACAGCACTGCTCTGGGTACAAGCCAGCACTGTCCTCTCCAGCAGTCTGTGCTTATCACCAGCTTAAGGAACAAAATGCTGTCTTGTCTAATACGGGATGCTATCTTTTCTCCTAACCATTGTGTTGACTTTAGAAGCAGTGAATCTAGGGCACCATTAACTTACTGATCTGGTGCCACTAAGGTCCCACAGGATAATTTTTGTGTTGCCTGCTAGAATATGGGGGTACCATATTGAAAGTCTGGTTCTTACCTTTTTCCAACTGTGTTTTTTCATGGGAGAAATAGTATCTGCAGCATTTGTACCAAATAAGCAATCACAGATGCCACTGTCCCCTCCAACCCAATTGCCACTGTCTCCTGGCATCTTCAGTACTGGTTTAGAGAAAAGAGAGGGGGAAAAAGCTTAGTACCTTTGTGTGATTTGCATGGAAATGCTCAAGAGAGCAGGTCTCCAAGCACTACTGAGGATAGAGGGAAAAGATAATAAAATCTAGCAAAATTATACTTATTTTGACAAAACGCTTACAAGCAAGGAAATAAGCACTTGGAAGAACTGAGCTACAGCCATAGCTGTGCAGTGTTCCCCTTCTGCTGCACAGATGCTGTCTTGGAGCACCTTTTTTGTAAGAGCAGCTAGAATTGGGGACTGTTTTGTTAGGTTGCGGTTCTGGAAGGGGCAGGAGTTTAGCAGCTGGTTTGCAAACAGCTCTGCCGTTTCTGTGCTGAGCCGGGTGGGGCAGACAGCTGCGGGAGGCCATCCATTGCCCAGGCTGGTGCCATCTGTTTTCCAGTCAAAGCCCTGATTTGGCTGATAGGAAAAGATGCCCAAAGCTCAGTGGCTGAGTGATATAGAAGGAGAGTTAACCTTGTTACTAGTTAAGACCTGGAGCAGGCAGTGAACTTGAGCTTGCCACATGAATTAAGCTGGTCAGTCTGCCAAAAAACCTGTGTCCTTTCTACCCCTGTTCTGAAGTGACTAGGTAAATTTGCAGGATATTGCCTTCATCTCGAAGGGATATGTTATCAAGATTTTCTCCAACCTCAAAAAGTCACTAAAAGTCAAACTGAAAAGCAAGCAAACCCAAAGAAGCACAAAACACACTGCCTGACCCATTTCATAAACACTGCTTCTTCTTGAGGGTAGGGAGAAGCATGGCAGCTATTACTAATATGAAAGCCTTCAGAATGTCAGTCTTCAAATACTTTCTTTTGTATCTAGTTTAGTGTCTCACCTGATGATGGTTCAGCCAAAGTAATTGGAGCATCCTGTGGATGTGCTCAGTTGACACTGAACTGGCTGCCCCAGGTGTTTGCAAAATTTAAGAGTCAGCTGTGGTGTTCCTCAGAGGGATACTGCTGCAGTGCCTGTCCCCTCCATTATTGTCACCATAGAACAGCCCTTGATCCCAGTTTTGGCAACAAAGTTGCATCTTCCCTTTCAAACACTAGACGATAGAAGAAACTTAGATTTGTGGTCAGGATATAGACTTTTCCCTCTTCTCATTTTCCTGGTGGTAGGTGTGATATTTTTGGAGTTGCTCATTAGCAAGGTTTATTCACCGAGTCAGCTTTGCTTATGTGTGGTTCTGGTGGTTTGTTGCTGACTACATGAAAACAGATTTCTGGAGACCTTTGTAACAGTTTAAGCTTCTGCTGGAGTTTGTATAGTTTTTCCTTCCATCTCCTTTGTAGGCAGAGTTTAGGATTCTTTATGTTAAATTGTATGTCAGTTTAACTGGTGTTTTCTCCATGCAAACATAAAAAGAAGTATTTTTCCATGAGTGCCAAGCATTTCCCAAATATTGAGGAATTTACCACTTTTGAAATGCCAATGGAAACTGCTTGCTGTTGCAGTTAACAGAGTTAATATTAGTACTGGCTGTGGCATCTTTCCTTAAAATACTTAGTACTGAACAGAAATATATTAGCAATGTTATTGTTTATTAAATGTTATCAAAATTATTTTGACTACTTTTTCAGTGGCTTTGTTCTGTTGTTTCAGCAAAGGGTGCATACTTTTCCATGTCCTTTTTGATTTTAGCAGTTTTGTAGTCCTGTTTTTATCTGCCAGGCTTAAAACCAAGTGTGTTGTGTAGGATTATGTTTTTCTCACTGTATTATGTCTGCAGCCACAGAGATTTTGGCATGTTCAAGTAACTTCCTTCAT